TCTTTGTAGGGAAACCCCAAAAATCCTTTCTGCATGTTTTGAAATACACAATATTGTGTCATCACCATATGGTACCATAGAACACAGAGGGATGTACCCCTCCTATCTAACTGTAACTTTGTACCCATTGACATACTTGTCCCTTCCCTCCTCTTTCTAATTAGGCTTCTGTGGAATTTATGCAGTTGTTTTTATACATAAAAAATCACAAGAAAGAAATCTACAGGCTGTGCTATCATTCATATGGTCAAAACCAGAACTAGATTTTAAAAACTGAAAATGAGAAGATGGGGGTGGGGTGGACAGAGAACACATGCATGCGCGTGCACGCACACACACACACACACACGCACATACGTGTGTGTGTACACACACAGAGAAGGGAGCTGAGGAAGAGAATGAATCGGAGAGAAAAGCTTCATTAGACTCAGAGGCAAGCAGTGGCAGTATACCAAGGTCACTTCTAATTTAGACCATCTAATTGGCAAACAGGCTCCAAATGGCTATCATCTCGCAGGGCTTGGAATTAATGAAGCCCGATTATTTTCATTACTTTCCTCTGAGATGGAGACAAAGTGAAAGAGCTGATACCCAGGTGGGTGTGAACAGCCCTAGGGCCAGGGCCCTCCAAGAGTCCCTGTGGGGTGGGAAGGAGGGGCAGTTGGCCAGCCAGGGACTCATACAGCACAGTCACGCATGAGCACAGAAAGCCACAGACACTGACTGAACACAGGAGGCAAACTACTGCTCCCCAAAGAGGGACACAGAACAGGCAGGGCAGGGCCAGGGGCATAGCAAGGAAACCTGCGCATGTACAAAAACTAAGGAACAGGAACTGGAAAGAGAGCAAAAGGGGTTCCTGGACTCACAGCTAATCCGCATCTCCACTGGAAGGTCCTATTTTGTTAAGTGATTAAGGAACAAAGAAAATGTCCCCATATTAATGATCCAGGATCCCGGTGGTATGTCCTGTCACTTAGAAAGACAGTGATCAATTAGAATAATTTAAGAGTACTGAGATGCATGGTAGGTGGTCCTTCTCATTCTCTTTTAGGGGCCAGAAACACGAGCCCCATGCTTTCACACTTTCTTCCCAGAAAGACTGGGGAAGTAAGAGCAGAGATCAGCTTCTCCCATCTCTTACAGCAATTTGAAATCTCCGTCTCCTCTGCAAATAATCACGAGCCTTACATACATGAAGATGATATGGGGGCCTGGGGTCATCACAGCCAGCTGTGTGGGAGGGCACTTAGCTCATCTCCTTTAAGCTTCACAGACTGCCTTCTTTCCTATGACATGTGCAAAGATGCCATTTGGAGCTCTGTTTCCAGCAGGCCAAGTAAAACCAGGTGCTGTGGCTGCAGTTTCCATAGTGGAAGGCCAGCCCTGCAATTGTTCTTGGTGGATTCTATTTTTCAAGCCCCCTCATCAGTAAAAGGAAGGGGCCCATGGAAGACATAGATATGAGATGCAGAGCATAAGCAAGCAGCCGTTACCATAGCAACAGACATATTAGACACTGCAGGTTCCTGAAAGCTGTCTGATAAGGTATTATTAAATGAAGCCTCCTCAAAACGTTCTCCACTTACAACTGAACGGGAAGACATTGTGTAGAAAGTAATCTATTTCTATTTATCAGGTTGGAATTTACTTTTAGAAGGACTGAAACCCAATTCAGCTAGATCCTGAGACCTTGGACTCAAAAGATCAAAAAAAAAAAAAAAAAAAAAAAAGCAGAATTTATAGCTTTAGATGCTCTGGACACACCCCATGTCTGCCAAGAATTCTCAATCCTGGAGATTTTGCCAGCTTTTCTTGTTTTGCAGCCAAAAGTACCTAACTCAGCCAAGCCCACTGGGTAGGAAGGCAGATTCACTCCTCATACTACCATTTATTCTGGTCATTTGGAGAGAGAAGCAGGCACTACTTTCTTTTCGTGAAGGATGAGTGACCAGAAAACTGGCTGCCCCTTAATGGCTCAGAAAATCTTTCTATTTTAGAGAAGGTCTACAGGGTGTTCAGGGTCTCACTACACAGACTGGACTTGTAGTGATGTGCCTGTTTACAGCCTCCCAAGAGCTGGGATTACAGCACACCACCATGCCCAGTTTCAACTGCCATCTCAGCGAGCCCTGGAGGTGGGGCTGGCACAGCAGGCACGGGGATAGAACCCCTGGTCCCTGTGCCTGCTTACAGGTGCTTTAATCCACTGTGCTATTTGGCCGGCCTATTGAGAAGCCTTTCTCATCAGAGTGTTTTAAGAGTTTCCTCCTCTTCTTGGCTGGGCACAAGCAGGTAAATTATCAGAAAGTGTAACCAACACTTTCCAAGGGCCAATTTTCTAATAAAATTAAGAGTCAAATACCCACAAGGAGCACGATTTAACCACAGGTTTACTATAATCACTTAGTTGTAAAACCACTGCGAATTCCATTTTAACACCAAACTTTCCAGAGGAAGGATGCTGGCATCAGCCCTCCAATAGGACTCCAAGTTCACCTGATATGGCCACAAACTCCCCTCTAGCATCAGTTGTTCTTTTTCTGCTGAACTGGAGGCTGAAGCGGCAAAGCGTCGCGGGACAATGCAAATCATTGTCATGACTAGGAAAACCAACACAACACTCAGCACCACAGAGCCATCTTCCCATGTAAAGAAAGTGCAGAGAAGTGCTCTTCACTTTTAAAAGGCAAACACCCACGTGGTTACATTTCCCACATTTTTCGTGAGGATCAGCTTTAAGAATCCACTAACTTTCCTTGTTTCTGGCAAACCGACCTCTCAGAACTAGCACACGCCCTACAAGTTGCATACTTTCCCACAATGTCTGAAAGCATCTGCATTGCCTACTGTGGAAAGAGGAGGAAACAGGACTTTCTGTAAGGCGTACCAAGCACAGCCCTTCTAGGGAGGACTTTCTCCTATATAGCTATGTTGCAAGGGGCTCAAGAATGGGGTTTGTCAGCCAGCTCCCTGAATGTATCCTTATGACACCTGGCACTGTACGGGCAATTCTGTATTTGCAGCATACTTGATGGAGGGCCGACAGCAATGCTTATTAAGTTTTACTAGGTATACAACAGCCCCGAATGGCTGTTGTATTGTTTTCATCAGTCTTGAAAAAGGTTGAGAATCATGCTTGCAAAGGTGCTGGTTAGTGGGTAATTCTCAGAAATGAGATTGGCTCCCAAACAAACATAGTAGTCATGTCCTGCCCTTGAAGACTCTGTTGGCAAATGAAGATTCATAATGATCACCAGACCGACCACTTGAAATGTACCCTGCTATGGCTGTTATGCGAAAATGTGATACCAGATATATGAAATATAATTTACATGCTATGCAGATCTCTAAGGATGTAAAAATAATTTTTTACTGTCTAATGTAAACCAGTCACGCAGGTTGCTATAAATCTACAGTTCTTATGCTAGACTTATATTAAACAGCAAAAATAACCACTTGCGCAAAAGAGAAATATCACTGAGTATTAAAATGCTTCCCTCTTCATGCCTCTTTCTGTTCCTTCAGGCTCCTAGAGGTTCCAGGACATTCCAGGAACTCAGACAAGGCCTTGGAAAAACACCTTTGGTATTTCCAGAACTAGTAAGGATGCCAGGGAAACCTGCAACATGGAAACTCATCCATCCACAGGAGGAGGAGGTGTTCAATTTACAGAGAATTCTTCCACAAAGTTCTCTGCCTGTGTGAAAACGCTCATGGAAAGTGAGTATGTATTTGAAAGTCACCTGTGAGGAAGCTCATGGTAGTCACCTTTAAGTTCCCCCATTGACTGGTAAAGTCCTCTTGATACAGCATCAGTGATATGCTTCCTCACGACTGAGTATCACTTACTTTATTAACTGTACATAGCCGGATGGGATCGAAAATGCCTAGAGGTGGTATGTATGTGACTTGCACATTATAACGCAGAGTTCTGAACAAGCTACCTCTCTGGGAATCTTCACATGAAAAGGCAATCAAAGTAATTTTGTATTATTCCACTGTTGAAATAATACGAAGGTGAGGTGAGAATTAATTCTCTTTTGCAGTTTTTCCCCTTGTGCCCAGGAAAGGCCTCTCCCAGGAGCTCCAATATAGTCAAAAGTAGGACATCATCACTACCTGTAGTATTCTGAAAAGTTTTTACATTATGATTAGAATAAAACTGGGCAGGGGACAATGAGACAAGGTCCCCCTATATAGTTCAGACTGGGGGCTTGGACTCACTGTGAAACTGAGCCTGGCCTGAAGTTGCAGTAATCCTCCAGCTTCAGCCTCCCAAGTGCTGGCATTACAGACACACACCGCCACACCCACAACTGGGGTAGAATCAAATCTTTACACTAGCCTTTGGGGCTGTATTTATAGTGGCCACTTAAGAGTTACTCTTTCAAAACTGTATGTCAGCATCGTATTTAAGTGCAAAGCCAAACTGATACATCCACAGGCTATATCCAACTGACCACCTTCCCACTTTGAGACCAAAGTGCCCACTTGAGACATGCATGTATTACAGCGCTACACTCAAGAGATGGAAAGTGTGGGTCCAGATTTCAACCATACTTCTTATAAATGGTTATCAGGCTGGTTCGCTTCTTTGAGCCTTACTTTCCTCATCTGTTAAAGGGAATGTGTCAAGCTTTTTTTTAGACTAGGTTTGTTGTGTAGCTGAAATGAGATATAATAAATGGAAAAGCAACCCAGCCCATGACCTGTTCAATAAAATTTTGGAGAACCTGGGTATGGTTTCTTCCTGTAAGTGCTCAGCCTCTGCATCGTGAGGAGGAACATGGAGACACACATACCACGCTGTGAGCGGTCATCAGGCCACGGGCACGCAGGTCTAAGGCAGGTCCACTAGAACAGAGGTCACAGAACTAGGGTGCCCTCCTGATGCTCTCTACTTTACAGCGACTGTGTCTACCAACAACACAGGCCTTGGTCCTGTCACGGCATCATCTCTGAGTCCTGCAGGAAAGATCTGGTCCTGGCCCCCTTACCGTCATGATGAGCTTCTCCACGCAGTCCGGGGCCACGCTGTGGAGGTGGGTGAGGTGCAGCTGAAGGTGGATCTTGTTGTTGAGCATGTCCTGGCACAGGGGGCAGCGGAGCATGGGCTGCACTGAGTGCTGGGTCATGGCATGCACCCGCAGCCGGTTCACATCAGCGTTGCTGTACTTGCAGTAGGGGCACTGGTACATCTGTGGGGACACACCCACCGCACTGCTCCATCTGCTGTCCCCACCAACTGTTGCTGCCCCACGCCCACACACTTGGAAATGCTTTCCCCACCCGTTCCCCACCAATGTAGAAACACCACCCCACCAGCATGGTGCCCTCTGGCCTCACCTGCTCTGGCTTGAGCTCCTCAGATGTTTTTGGTCGCTTGGAAGAGAGCAGAGACTCCGAACTACCTGGGAAGGAGATGCGTTTGGAGGCAGCAGGAGAATCCGTCAGCTCCTTCTCTGCTTGGCTGGATGAGGCTAGGAGAAAAAGTAGAAGATGCAATAAAGTAGTAGCCAGACCAGGCCTGCTCCCAGAGGGTTTGTTTTGGGTGAAAATCAACATTCATTTATAGCATAGGATTTTCTTACAACACAAAAATTCAAAAAGGATGTACCTCCGGAACTGCCTTATCAACATACTGGAAAAGAAGCAAGTGATTTTTTTTCCTTTCCATGAATTTCTGTCATACCTTAACAACTGAACATTCGGAAAAGGTCTTTAAAAATGGAATAAAAGGTTCTGGAGTTGGACTGAGCTAAATCCAGTCTTATTTACCAACCTCCTCTCTCTAAGCACAGTCTGTGGGCTTCTATCTGTCGGGGGCAACAGAGCTGAAGGTGGAAGGCAAAAATCTCTCCCAAGGCTTAGCTAATCTGAGTATGTCTGTTCGGGAGATGTAAGGAACCATGTGCTTGCAACTTTACTGTCCCACCTTTTAGAATCATAACAGGGCACAGCATAGGCAGCCTGTAGGACCTGAGAAGGATTCAAGGGAGAGCTGCATCCCAATATAGAGAAAACAGCAAGTTTTGGTTCAGCAGTTTGCTTTCAGGCAAGAAATAATTGAGGAGTGGAATGGGCGGGGCGTGAATCCAAGTTATCATCAAGCCAGTGCTTCACGTGTAAAGATGTATTCAGAGTGGGTGGTAAGAAGGAACGTTTCCTATCTGCTTGCACAACCACACCTCTGCACCCCTTCTGCCCACGCCATCAAAAAATGAAAACATCAATTAATGAGGAGAGGCACGAGAGGTTTAAATAACAAGCATGAGGCAAGCAGAAGTCCTCTGAGGCACAGGGGCACCCTAGAAGATGATGATGAGGCAACAGCCAGGCTATGGGTCTGATCAGGACAAGCAGGGCTCCTCCAGTGTAAACCCAAAGTCCAACGTGGCTAGACTCGGTCATTCCAAAGCCTGGTCAGTCTCCAGGGGTTCACTGTCACTTATTTTGGACATAAAACTTCCATTGTTCAGAATTTTGCTTAAAGCAACAAGGAAAAAAGAAATTCTGAAAATGGTAATGAGGATATATAAATATAATGGATTTAGAAAGCCTAATTTTTGTTCAATGGTAAAATTGCTTTTTGTCTCACCCTGTCTAGTTGTCTGGCATGTACTTCTACTTTATGTTCAACTTTAAAATTTGTTCTGTCGGGGACACTAAGGTGTTGTCATTATAGACGTGCACTTTAATAATAAATAATTTTCAAAAATCAATTTTATTCATTAAAATCATAAGGCCACAAAATAATTTTGAAAACAATTTGCCAAACACATGAAATATTCCAGGAAGTTGATGCACTTCCCAGAATGCACATCTTGTGACTTTTAACCCCTGCATCTTGGTAACCTGGTCTACATAAGTTTGGAGAACATCTATTATTTAAAAAGTACAAGGACAAGCATATTACACAGAGACCCCTCCTCCTTCCAACACACAGATTCATAACAGTACTTTAATCTGTCTCGAATCGACTTCAAACCCATTTTGCTCTTAATGGGAGTTATTCATTTTCACTTGAAAGGTACTACATGACGGCTGGAAATTTAATGTGATGGACTGGCTGCCGATTAACTAGGTGCTGTAACATTCTAGACTGGTTCCCCCACGGCCCACTTCCCTCTCCTGGCCCCCCGCAGACCTGATCCTAGGGAATCCTGCACTGCACATTTCAGACCTTGTAGTTTGGTGGGCTCCTGCCTAAACCCTGTCACAACTTCAGGCTTTAATGTTTCGGGGACTTCAGTTTTCTCCACCTCCAGAAGGTTCTCCATCATTTTTATTTTTGCTTAATGTTTACCTTCTATATATTAACTCTTCAAATATATTCTAAAGATGGTGAGTGGTGGGATAAAAGGGTACTTACTTAGATGTTTCTTGGTCTTGACCACCCCCTTACCTTCCCTGCTCCCACCTCCAACTGGTAGGCATTAGGCTGGGCTCCATGTTTATAATGAGAAGCAGACCCACTGATCTGTTGCTTCTCTCCATAAGACCCTGCCAAGAGCTAAGTAAGAGTCTATCCCACCCTTTCCCCATGTTTCTGTAATGTATCTGGCCCAAAAGGACACCTGCTTTTACAGGACAATGATACCACCTTATAAATGCTGCCACCTGCCTGCCACCATACCCCACTGCTGGCTCAGCAGTGTGATTAAATGGGCACGGAGGCTGAGACCGCCCAAGTCATCTCATTACTTTGGAGCTGAAAAGCAAACGCAGTAGCCCTGTGCTGTGTTAGTTTCCCTACAGAACCAGAGGCGATCCTCTTCCTTCAACTCTGAGTGAGAGAACGGTGGAGAGGGTGTGGAGATGAGAGAATTCCAGTTTCAGAAGCCACTATCTGCCCCTCTTGCACAGAAGGGGAAGCTTTACTTAACACCCCCTCCAAATTGCTCTTGAAGTCTAAAGCTCCTTTTGTGAGCCTAGCGAAGGAGCCATTATAGAGTATTTCAGAAAATAAATTCTTCTTTCTTCCAGCAACCTAACAGCCCTGCTGTAATACGAATCTCTGTATCCACTGGTGCACAAACTTGGAGTTTATCTTCTATCCAAGACAAACTGCATCTTTATTAGATCAGATCTGCCTAAAACAATCTAGAAGTGGACATTAGCCACCTGCAGCTCACTGGCTCCTTCACTTAAAACAAACAAATGCCACTCTTACGACAGATTATAAACACCACCCATTAGGATCTCATGGTGTTTCCCTGGGGGTCTGGGCCCTGTTCCCCCAAATTAGGTTAAATGTAGCTGACACAGGCCACTCCCTAGCTTGACCGCAGACATTAAAACATCAATCTCTATCAAGACTTGGTAAGGACACGTTGTACAGCTTCTTGCAAGGCGTACAAGTTCTCCATCAACATGCTAGATGCGGGTTTATCACAGGCCACAGACAATCAGAGGTTTTCTCAAGCTTCTCTCTGAACAACTTCAAAAGGCCCATAGTCTCAAAATCAATTTCTACTCTGCTTCTGTCACTAGCATGCATGGTAGTCATAAAGGAAATGAGCTTGTATGAATAACAACAAAGAAAGTACTGTGGTTTTCTGCTTTGAAGACTTCTCTAAACTTTAACTTAAACTTCAGAAGAGATGTCACAATACAGAACACACCATTAAAAAATCAATTACTGGTCACTCTAAGTCTGCTATGATGTCATATTAGTGAAAAAGAAATAGACGTGCTCCAGAGGCAAGACATGGTTGAAACAATCAGTACCTGAAATCTTAGGTAACAAAACACTGGGGACAAAAAACCAAAATAACTTCAAGGGTCACCACCTATGGTAGTTTTCATAATGATAAAAACGAATTGAAAACAGTGTAGTTCACCTTATCACAGGGCATGGTGAAAGTAAATAATGTATAGCCAGCCATGCTATTGCAAATTAGAAGGCATTAAAATTATGGCTGTAAGGCAATATGGAAAAATCACTACAAATATAAATCAGAAAAGAAATAAGATAAAATATAAATCAAACCAGGTTATAGTTATGTAAAAAATAGGTATTAAAACAAAAACTAGAAGAAAATGTTGGTGGCATTTAGCTGACAGCATCATATGCTATTTTCAAAGTTTATCATGTAGTTATATTATTTTTAATATAATTAAATGGGTTAGTATTTGTATTCTGCTGTCCATGAAAAAGTTGGTATGTGGGCCCACACTGAATCTATAGCTTCACCACCCTGAACAGACCTGAGTTCATCTAATCTTGGATCCACACTGAGCCAAACATCGGGCAGTATATTTTTACTTTGACAGCTAAAGCAGTTTTTCTCATTTTGGCAGTTATGTCATATGAAAATATGTGCTAAATCTTTACGAATCTTTCATAGGCAACATGCTGGGCTCCTGGCATTTCAAAGGGGATCAAAATGTGGTAAAGAATCACATGAGCGTGTAGTAGATGACATATTCTAGAAAGCAAGGTAAATTTGATACTGTGACAGTGATAGGCTGGGTCACACCTCAAATGAAACTTCCCCTGACATGGATGCAAAGTTCTTGCCACATGGACTTTCAAGGGGGTGAACCAAGCCCTTACTTGGCCAGCAGGGTTAGGGATGGGACGGTCCTGCCCAATCCACACAGGGAGGACAGGCATGTCCCTTTTCACAAATTTCAAGGTTAGCTTTCTGGGCCAAAAATCAGTATTTCCCTTTACACTGTGATGGGCAAGCCACTAAAAGTGGCAAAGGAAATGCCGAAGGGGGCCAGCATAATTCATGATTCTCCATTTTATTTTCTTAGGTTCCTGAGGGAGGATTATTTGGGCATGGGGACACAAATTTTCATATATCCTTTGGTTTTTATCTTATTTGTTTGGGGAGTATTTAACCTCTAAAGATAATTATTTAAAAAGTCACCTCTCTTATCATGTTAATCATCAAGGAAGAGAGGAAAGAAGATAGTTACATTCATGTAAGTTTTTGTAATTTTTAAGCAATGGCTCTATGCAAAAGAATAATTAAAACAATGGCAGCAACACTTTGCTTAGGAAGTAGCATGCTTTAAGGAATACGAAAAAGAAGTATCACTTAGAGGACTTCTGAAGAGGCCAAATACGTTAGAAACACCATGAATGTTCATCATGCCCTGCCACTATCACTGATAGAAACATTCTTCCTAGAACAAGTCTTAGCCAATCCCAGTTTCCACTAACAAAATCCACACTGGAATCACTGAAGTTCGGCCACAGAGAACTTAAAAGAGTCGGACATGCAACTCCAGCAGAATGAATGCCAACACATGCCTCGTTTCTTGACTGGTGGCCTGAGCTAGACTCTGAAGCCAGGGAAGGCTACTAGCTACACTGGGAATAACCTGAAGAAAAACTGGCAATGAAGTAAAAAGAGAACCTCGAGGTGCCACCTACCTAGTTGTCAGCCTCCTCTAATTATCAGCTTGAACATCTACCTGCCCTCCGAGAAAATCAAAGTACAGACAGGACTAGTTTCTGTGCCTC